CTTGATAATGACTTCTAAGTTATCAAGGCTGCTTTATATGGTCCATGATATTCTTTGGGACTCCCAGTTGCTAGTATACAAGGCTAGCAATCACCAGTTCCTAGTCTCTCCTCTCTTATATTCTAGCTTCACATCCCTGTACCCTAGAAGACCAGGAATTCTGTAAATAATAGTTGAATTAAATTGAAAGTAAATAACTACTTACAAATCTAGCTGAATTTTTTAAAAATAATGCTAATTTTAAAGTACAATTTTCAAAAAGTTAAATATGTAACTCGAAATATAGGATGAAGACATGTCAAAGATTTAACTCATTAATGAGGAAAACAACAAAATGATGTAAATTCCAAGTACAGTTAGAGAAAGAAATTTAGCAGGATGGGAGAAAGGGGGAGTCAGATTGCTAGGTTCAATACAATACTCATGAATGTCATACAAGGCACAATAATCCTTTGTTTTAAAAAATAATTTTTCAGATGTAATTTTACAAATTACATCTGTAATGAACAAAACTCTGGAAATAAGAACATAACTTCACAGAGTTTGGGCCTTTGATCAATAGTAGTTAATGAGTCCAAAAATTTATTTACTTTTCCCTAAATAATTAATAATCCTTTCATTGGCCACTGAAGCAATGTTTTAATGTGACAATGAATAAACATGCCTTTACCTTGTTCCCAGGTGTTAGTTTTCTCAATAATAATAGCTAACATTGATCAAGTACCAACTATGTGCCGTGTACTGTGCTGAGTTCATTCATTTGTCTAATAAATTTTTATTGAATGCCTACTGAGTGCCAAGCACTGTTCTAACCCTCATATTTGTGATTCAGGCTAGATTTATATTGGCTAGAGTGGAACTATACCAACTGAATTTGCATTTCATTTCAATTTTCTAGATACCTGAGTTTTCTCGTCTGAAATTTAAAAGATAAAATGGTAGATGAGATTATATTTTAGCAAATATCCCTCCCCTGACCCCACCTTCATGAAAAGAGTATGCTTATGCCTTTTTGTGCTATTCGAGCTGTGGTTGGCCATGTGACTTGCTTTGGTCCATAGGATATTGGCAGACATAACAAACAGAGACATCGCTTCTCGGCCTTTCCGCTAAGATCAAGTGTAGTAACAAACAGAGGCTTAGAACGTTTTTGCATGGTGAGGCTTGCCTTCTTGTGCCTCTGCCGCTGTCTTGAGAACATCCCTAGTTAGCTTGCTATACAAGGAACCAGCCTGGATCCGCCTTGTAGCTCAGAGGCAAGTCCAGTGAGGCCTAGTCTTGATCAATCTACCCTCAGTCAGCCCACAGATGTATGAAAATAATGAATGATTATTGTTTTGAGCTACATAGTTGTGGTGAGGTTTGTTATGTAGTGACAGAATTGAGGGATTTCTCTTCCCAGGTCTGCGAGGGGTGTGGTGTAAAAAGCAGGAGTTTCTTGGCTCCATGCCTCCATCCAGAAACCAGAGGAGTTTCAAATGTAGAGTTCTTTGTCTGGGTTTCCCACTTGAGGGCTAGGTAGAAAAAGTCAGGTGACGCTCCTTTGTCCCAAAAAATTCACGTAAGCTCTGGGAGGAGCGGGCTCTGTAACTTAGAGTTGTGGATCATGCAGCCAATCTGGTATCAGAGTCAAAAGATCAGTTACTCCAGAGGAAGTTTGAAAGAACTCCTCTCATTGGACGAGAACATGAAAGGGGAGAGAATAACTCAAGGGTTAAAACTCCAGCTGCTCCTACCTATGCAGATTCCTTCTCCAGGTCCCCTCCCGTGACAGGGTGGAAGCTGTTTTTCTTTCTCTCTCTGTCTAATAAATTGCTTTTCTGCAAACTCTTTGGATCCACGATATTTATTTTAATGGCAAACTCACCAGGCCTCAAGGGCACCTTTCCCCATTCTTCAGGGTTAGTGAGGCTAAGAACCTCTTTGGAATGGGGAGCTCAGTACGCTCCCCTGTTACATCTTTTGGCAAGCCAGTCAGGAGAACGTTAGACTTCAGAGCGGTGAGTGCCATTGGATCCCTTTCACTTGCTAATCTGTCTTTCCCTTCTTTTAAATTTGTTTAGGAGGTAAAAAACGAGTGCCCATCGGTCACCTAAGTGTGAAGAGCATGGCTGCCGGTCTACAGACAGGGGTGTCAGGCTTTCTAAGAATGGACTCTCCAAAAACCCCCAGCTCTTTGGAAGAAAAGCAAAGGAGAGTAAAAGTTGAATATGGGGAGCATGTTAATTACCATTAGTGTTTAAGGAAGGGCTTACCTTTGAGCAGAATTCTGAGAGTGAGCAGTGAGTTCTGGAAGAACATTCCAGGCACAGGGAAGAGAATATAGACCCACAAGAGAGGATGCTTGATTTCAGGAGAAACAGCAAGAATGCCAGTAAGAGGAAGTATAGCAAGAGATGAGGACAAAGAAGAAATATAAGACAAAAATCACATAGGGCTGTGATAATAGCTAGGCTTTTCTTAAAAGAAGATGATATAGCAGAAACTGCTAACTGTCCCGTGTCCACTCACCTTGTCTTTCTCTTGGTAATACAACATTTACACCTATTCCAAGTTTAATGGGACTCATGCTCACCCAAACTGTATACCTCATTTACTTTCATTTCACGTTACAGACAAGGGAAACTAGGAAATTTTCCCTGTAGCTAATGTGAAGTGAAAGTAAATGAGGTATAAAATAACGTGTATCGTATTCTTAGAATTTGCCAGCTCTCCATTTCCTCTTGTCTTTCCAACTTGCTGACTACTGTATCAACATGAAATGCTAAGCCATGTTCAATTATGCAAATGTCCCTTAAACATAAGATAAGATGCTCAACTTCCCCCACAAAAGAAAAATAGAAATTCAAACAAGAGTACCATGCTATTTTTTCACTTATTAGCTTTAAGACTGACATCATATTCTTGGCATGGCTGGGGAATAGGCATTTTCATACATCACTGCTGGGAATTCAAAGTGATACAACCCCACAGAGTTCACTGATTTCTAGAAAAAGTACTATGTATTTGTCCTCTGACCCAGCATCTTTCTTCTAGAAATCTATACATAAGGTTAGTCATTATAGCACTAATGGTAAGAGCAAAAGGCTGGAAATAAGCCAAATGTCCACCTGCAGGAGATGGGCTCAATAAACTAATATCCAAAGAATGGAGTAATATAAAGCTAAGAAAAGAGGAAGCATCCACCTGGGGCTTCCTGCCACCCCTACCCATGTTGCACAGCCAACAGAGTTCTAATTTCTGCCTGGGATGGATCGCCCAGAGCGAGGACAGGCCGGAATCCTGGCTGTTTGTGTTTCTCAGCCAGTCCAGCCTATGGGTCTTGGAGAGCCCAAACCAATCAGAAGCTGAAAGGATCCCCAACACAGCATAGCTGCTCTACAAAAAAGCTGCCAGACTGCTTCTTTAAGTGAGTTTCTGATCCTGTTCCTCCTGACTTCCCAAGTGGGGTCTCCAGCCACCTCCTACAGGTGTGTTTGGGCCAGCAACAGGTCAGTACCTACTTGAACAAAGCTTCCAGAGAAAGGGGAAGGCTGCCATCTTTGCTGTTTTGCAACCTTCACTGGTGATACCTCCAAATATGGAAAAATCTGAGGTAACTAGGGTCTGGAGCGGACCCCCAGCAAATCACAGCAGCCCTACGGAAGAGTGGGCAGCCAGACTCTTAAAAGAAAAATGAACAGAAAACAACCACAAAAACCTGATCCAAAGGTCAGAAACCTCAAAGATCAAACGTAGATAAGCCAACAAAGACGAATCAATGTAAAAATGCTGAAAATTAAAAAATCCAGAGAGCCCTCTTTCATCCAAATGACCACAACATTCCTCCAGCACGGGCTCAGAACTGGGCTGAGGCTGAGATAGCTGAAATGACAGAAGTAGGCTTCAGAATGTAGATAAAAATATAAAAATGAACTTTGCTGAACTAAAGGAGCATGTTGTAACCCAATGCAGGGAAGCTAAGAATCATGATGAAATCAATGCAGAAGCTAGGTGACATGGCTCACGCCTGTAATCCCAGCACTTTGGGAGGCTGAGGCAGGTGGATTACATGACATCAGGAGTTCAAAAACAGCCTGGCCAACATGGTGAAACCCCGTCTCTACTTAAGATACAAAAATTAGCTGGGCCCAGTGGTACATGACTGTAATCCAAGCTACTAGGGAGGCTAAGGCAGGAGAATTGCTAGAACTCAGGAGGCAGAGTTTGTAGTGAGCTGAGATCATTCCAGTGCACTCCAGCCTGGGCAACAGGGTGAAACTCTGTCTCAAAACAAACAACCAACCAAAAAACAATGCAGGAGCCAACAGCCAAAATAGCCAATTTAGAGAGGAACATTAGCAACCTGATAGAACTGAAAAACACACTACAAGAACTTCACAATGCAATCACAAGTATTAATAGCAGAGTAGAACAAGCAGAGGAAAGAATCTCAGAGCTTGAAGACTATCTTTCTGAATTAAAATAGGCAGAAAAAATAGAAAAAAATTAAAAGGAATGAATAAAACCTCTGAGAAATGTGGGATTATATAAAGAGACCGAATCTATGACTGATTGGTATCCCTGAAGGAGACAGGGAGAATGGAACCAAGTTGGAAAACATATGTCAGGATTTTATTCAGGAGAAATTTCCTAACCTAGCAAAACAGGCCAACATTCAAATCCAGGAAACGCAGAGAACCCCAGTAAGGCACTTCACAAGAAGATTATTCCCAAGACACATAATCATCAAATTTCCAAGGAAAAATTTTAAGGGCAGCCAGGTAGAAAGGCCAGGTCACCTACAAAAGGAAGCCCATCAGACTAACAGCAGACCTCTCAGTAGAAACCCTACAAGCTAGAAGAGATTGGGGGCCAATATTTAACATTCTTAAGGAACAACCCAGAATTTTATATCTGGCCAAAGGAAGCTTCATAAGTAAAGGATAAATAACTTACTTTCAGACAAGCAAGTGCTAAGGGAATTTGTTAACGCCAGACCTGCCTTACAAGAGCTCCTAAAGGAAGCACTAAATGTGGAAAGGAAAGAACATTACCAGCCATGACAAAAATGCACTGAAGTACACAGACCAGTGACACTATGAAGCAACCACATAAACAAGTCTCCAAAATAGCCAGCTAGCATCATGATGACAGGATCAAATCCACACATAACAATACTAATCTTAAATGTTAATGGGCTAAAGGTCCGAATTAAAAGACACAGAATGGCAAGCTAAAGAATCAACACCCATAAGTATGCTGTCTTCAAGAGACCCATCTCACATGCGAAGACAAACAGAGGCTGAAAATAAAGGGATGGAGTAAAATGTACCAAGCAAGTGGGAAACAGAGAAAAGCAGGAGTTGCAATCCTAGTTTCTGACAAAATATACTTTAAACCAACAAAAGCAAAGAAGACAAAGAAGGGCAATCCATTAATGGTAAAGGATTTAATTCAACAAGAAAACCTAACTATTCTAAATATATATGCACCCAATACAGGAGCACCCAGATTCATAAGGCAAGTTCTTATAGACCTACAAAGAGACTTAGACTCCCACACAATAATAGTGGGATACTTTAACACCCCACTGACAGCATTAGACAGATTGAGACAGAAAATTAACAAAGATATTCAGGACCTGACCTCAGCTCTTAATCAAGTGGACCTGTTAGACATCTGCAGAACTCTCCACCTCAAAACAACAGATTTACATTCTTGTTATTGCCACATGGCACTTACTCTAAAATTGATCACATAATTGGAAGTAAAACACTCCTCAGCAAATGCAAGACTGAAATCATATCAAATAGTCTCTCAGCCCATAGCACAATCCAACTAGAACTCAAGATTAAGAAATTCACTCAAGACTGAGCATGGTGGCTCATGACTGTAATCCCATAACTTTGGGAGAACAAGGCAAGTGAATCACTTGAAGCCAGGAGTTTGAGACCAGCCTGGCCAACATGATAAAACCCTATTTGTACTAAAAAAATACAAAAATTAGCCAGGTGTAGTGATGCATGCCTGTAATACCAGCTACTCAGAAGGTTGAGGCAGGAGAATCACTTGAACACAGGGGGCAGAGATCCTGGGCCATGAGATTGTGAACTGAGATTGTGCCACTGCACTCCAGCCTGGGCAACAGAGCAAGACTCTGTCTCAAAAAAAAAAGGAAAAGAAAAAAGAAATTCACTCAAAATCACATAACTACATGGAAATTGATTCTTGGGTAAAAATGATAAAATTAAGGTGGAAATCAAGAGGTTCTTTGAAGCTAATGAGAGCAAAAAGACAATGTACCAGAATCTCTGGGACACAGCTAAAGCAGTGTTAAGAGTGGAATTTACGGCATTAAATGCTCACATCAAAAAGCTAGAAAGTTCTCAACAACCTAACATCACAACTAAAAGAACTAGAGAACCAAGAGCAAACAAACCCCAAAGTTAGCAGAAAACAAGAAATAACCAAGATCAGAGCTAAACTGACAGAGATAGAGGCCTGAAAATCCCTTATAAAATCAATGAATCCATAACCTGGGTTTTTTAAAAAAAATAATAATAATAAAATAGACTGCTAGCTAGACTAACAAAGAAGAAAAGAGAGAAGATTGATATAAACAAAATCAGAAATGACAAGGGGAATATCATCAATGACCCTACAGAAATACAAACAACCATCAGAGAATACTATAAAGACCTCTATGCACATAAACCAGAAAATCTATAAGAAATTGACTCCAAGAATAGATCAATAAAACGTTCTGAAATTGAAGCAATAATAAATAACCTACCAACCAAAAAAAGCTCAGGGACAGATGGATTCACAGCTGAATTCTACCAGAGGTAGAAAGAAGAGCTGGTACCATTCCTACTGAAATTATTCCAAAAAATTGAAAAGAAGGGACTCCTCCCTAATTCATTCTATAAGGCCAACATCATCCTGATACCAAAACCTGTCAGAGATACAACAAAAAAAGAAAGCTTCAGGCCAATATCCTTGATGAACATTGATGCAACAACCCTCAACAAAATACTGCAAACCAAATTCAGCAGCACATCAAAAAGTTTATCTACCACGATCAAGTAGGCTTCATCCCCATGATGTAAGGCTGGTTTGACATACACAAATCAATAAATGTAACTAATCACATAAACAGAAGTAAAGAAAAAAAGCACGTGATTATCTGAATAAATGCAGAAAAGGCCTTCAATAAAATTCAACATTCCTACATGTTATAAACTCTCAGTAAACTGGATATTGAAGGAACACGCCTCAAAATAATAAGAGCTATTTATGACAAACCCACAGCCAATATCATACTAAATGGGCAAAAACTGGAAGTTCCCCTTGAAAACTGGCACAAGACAAGTTTGCCCTCTCTCCTTGCTCCTATTCAACATAGTATTGGAAGATCTGGCCAGGGCAATCAAGCAAGAGAAAGAAATAAAGGGTATTCAAACAGGAAAAGAAGAAGTCAAACTGTCTTTGTTTGCAGAAGACATGATCCAATATCTAGAAACCCCATTGTCTCAGCTGAAAAGCTTCTTAAGCAAATAAGCAACTTCGACATAGTCTCAGGACACAAAATCAATATGCAAAGATCACTAGCATTGCTATATACCAACAACAAGCAAGCCAAGAGCCAAACCATGAATGAACTCCTATTCACAATTACTGCAAAAAGAATAAAATATCTAAGAATACAGCGAACAAGGGGCATGAAGAACCTCTTCAAGGAGAACTATAAACCATGGCTAAAAGAAATCAGAGATGACACAAATAAAAATAAAAGCATTTCATGCTCATGGATGGAAAGAATCAATATCATGAAAATGGCCATACTGTCAAAAACAATTTATAGATTCAATGCTATTCCCATTAAATTACCACTGACATTCTTCACTGAACTAAAATAAATAAATAAATAAAATTTTAAAAATATTTTAAAATTCACATAGAACCAAAAAAGAGCCTGAATATCCCAGACAATCCTAAGCCAAAAGAACAAAGCTGGAGGCATCACACTACCTGACTTCAACTATACTAGAGGGCTACAGTAACCAAAACAGCATGGTACTGGTACAGGAACAGACACACAGACCAATGGAACAGAACCCAGAATCCAGAAATAAAACCACACACTTACAACCATCTGATTTTTGACAAACCTGTCAAAAACAAGCAATGGGGAAAGGATTCCTTATTTAATAAATGGTTCTGTGGGAACTAACTTGCTAGCCATATGCAGAAAATTGAAACTGGACCCCTTCCTGACACCATATACAAAAATCAACTCAACATGGATTAAAGATTTAAATGTAAAATGCAAAATTATAAAAAACTCAGCAGAAAATCTAGGCAATACCATTCAGGACATAGGCACAGGGAAAGATTTCATGATGAAGAAACCAAAAGCAATTGCAACAAAAGCAAAAATAGACAAATGACATCTAATTAACTAAAGAGCTTTGGTTAGTTTAATTAGATTTTATTTGTTATGCACAGTAAAAGAAGCTATCATTAAAGTAAATAAACAACCTACAGAATGGGAGAAAAATTTTGTAATCTATTAATCTGACAAATGTCTCAAATAGTATCTATGTAATATCTATAAAGTATCTATAGAAGTATCTATATTGTATCTATATATATATATAAAGTATCTATATAGTATCTATAAAATAGTATCTATATCTATAGTATCTACAAAGAACTTAAACAAATTTACAAGAAAAAAAAAAAAAAGACAACCCAGTTAAAAAGTGGCCAAGGACATAAACAGACACTTCTCAATAGAAGACATACATGCAGCCAACAAACATGTGAAAAAAACCTCAGCATCACTGATAATTATAGAAATGCAAGTCAAAACCACAGTGAGATGCCATCTCACATAAGTCAGAATGGCTATTACCAAAAAGTCAAAAAACAACAGATGCTGGTGAGGTTGTGGAGAAAAAGGAATGTTTTTATACTGTTGGTGGAAGTGTAAACTAGTTCAACCATTGTGGAAGACAGTGTGGCAATTCCTCAAAGACCTAGAAGCAGAAATATTATTTGACCCAGCAATCATATTACTGGGTAAATACCCAAAGGAATATAAATCATACTATTATACATGCATGTGTATGTTCATTGCATCACCGTTCACAATATCAAAGACATGGAATCAACCTAAATGCCTATCACTAATAGACTGGATAAAGAAAATATGGGACAGATACACCATAGAATACTATGCAGCCATAAAAAGGAATAAGATCATGTCCTTTGCAGGGACATGGATGGAACTGGACCCCATTATCCTTAGCAAACTAGGAACAGAAAACCAAATACTACATCCTCACTTACAAGTGGGAGCTGAATTATAAGAATATGTGGACACATGGAGGGGAACAACACACACTGTGCCTGTCAGAGGGTGGGGTGTGGGAGGAGGGAGAGCATCAGGAAGAATAATTAACGGATGCTGGGCTTAATAAGTGGGCCATGGGATGATCTGTGCAACAAAGCACCGTGACACATGTTCAACTACGTAACAAACTTGCACATCCTACACATGTACCAGCGAACTTAAAGTTGGAAATTTAAAAAAACAAAAACAAAAAACACATGTTGCTCTCTGGTCTAGGCATGCGGGTGTCAGCCGCGACCTCTGTGCTGGGATGAGCCATGCTCCCAGTGGAAGCAAGGGAGCCCGGCCGCAGCCATGGCCAGCACAGTGGTAGCAGTTGGACTGACCGTTCCAGCTGCAGGATTTGCAGGCCGTTATGTTTTGCCATCTATGAGGCACATAAAGCCTCCAGTAAAACAAGTTTTTCAAAGTCTACCAAAGTCTGCCTTCAGCGATGGCTATGACAGAGGTGGGTTTGAATCCAAAATGACAAAACGGGAAGCAGCATTAATACTAGGTGTAAGCGCTACTGCCAATAAAGGGAAAATAAGAGATGCTCATCAACAAATTAGAGTTTTAAATCATCCTGACAAAGGAGGATCTCCTTATATAGCAGCCAAAATCAATGAAGCTAAAGATTTACTAGAAGGTCAAGCTAAAAAATTAAATAAATGTATGACGCATTTTAAGTTCATATTAGTTTACGTATATGAGTACTAAGTTTTTGTAATAAAATGCCTCAGAGCTACAATTTAAAAAAAACAAACAGAATAGGTGGCAAATCTAGGAGACTTCAGGCAGACTCGTTTCCTAAAACTCGTCACATTACCAAGGATTCCGGTTAGGTGAGGTGTTGTTCTATGCATATGGCTTGGCATATTGCAAGGGGCAGCTGCCAAAAACTTCCAACAGCCAGGCACTCTCTTAAACTGTCCAGTTACCTGTGGGGGCAGGCATAGCTTTCTTCATTCTGAAGATGAGGAAACTGATGCTCAGATAGGCAAAGAAACTTGCCCAACAAAAGAAAATAAAAGATAATGGGGAATACTTCCATATTCTTTACTGGAATGACTTCCAAAATAAATTCATAAGTGAAAAATAAGAGACAGAAATGTGTGTATTATGCTATCACTCATCTATGAAAGCAGAGGGGATATACCATACACACAGTCTTTGCTAGTACTTTAAAAAAAAAAAAAACAAACACGATGGAAAGGTAATCCAAAAACTAAAAAATGTATTTACACATGGGAGAGGGTGAAGAAAACAGGAGTAGAAACTAGATTTTTCAGAATATATATCATTTTCTATAACTGAATCAGGAATCATGTAGATACATAATTAAATAAGCTTTAAAACAAAATCTCTAAACATCAAAAGCAAAATGAAACAAATGAACTTAACCTGCAAATCAAGTTAGTAGTCTCACTATACAGACAGAAATGATTTCAAGTGCCTTTAAAAGAGTAATTAGATGATATATCCCTAATCAGATATGACCTAAGCACAAAATAAAAATAACATAAACATGTTATTTAAAATGGCCTCAGTAATTATGTTGTTAGTGATAGTGTTGCACCAATCTAATATTAGAAGACTTCCTGTGCATTGTGAGATTAAAACTGTCTTTGGTTAGATTCTGCGATAAATATAATCTGATACTCTTCTGTGGGATTTCATGCAGGTCGTTTGTTAGGGAGTGTCCTCAGGAAACAATACCAATCAGAGACTGAAGGAAGTAGGGCCAGGCAGAGGTACAGGTTGAATTGTCAGGCAAGAGAGACCTTGGTTGATCCCATGGGAAGCTGTTAAATTGCTGGTCTTTAAGAAGTGTCTCAAACTGAGACAAGGAAATCTTACCTTTGTACTCCCATGTCACCCAATCTTTGGATGAGAATTTCACCTGTGGAGGAGGCATAACCTTGGCCAAGACAGTACTTTTTGGCTGAGGGCAATTTCTGGTGGAGAATTCAGCTGTGGAGCCATCAGTAGGCAACAGCTCCAGCAGATAGAAGTATTTTGCTCCTTAAATGAAAGTTGCCAGGAAAGTTTTTTCTTTTTTTTTTTTTTAAAGAGGTACTTTGTTCCTGAAGGGAAAGATCTGGGCAGCATCTACTACTATTACTACTACTACTAATAATAAAAATAATAATTATGCTGGTGACATTGGAACCCAGGAGTTTGGGCATGGTAGAGGATAAAGAGACCTGAGACAGATGAGGTTAAGTAAAAACTTTTCAGACCTGACTTTGAAATTAAAGTTTCAGTATAAACTCATGATCTATTTTAACTTTAAAAAATATTCAATACTTAGCTCTACTCACTGAAAAGAGTTTGAAATAAGAAACAGCTGTGTTGTAAGGAGCATCCCTAGTGCTTAGATATTGGTCTCTAAATGCCATTTCTCACTCAGGTAAACAAGGAAACTAAGAAATGGCTGATTTCAACTCCAAGGCAGAAAAAGTACAAGTTGGTCCTGAGACATTGTGTAATACAAGAAAGCAGAGAAACTATCCAATACTAGTGAGGGTGTGTCAAAAGAATTTAACCTTCAGGAGCCAGCCTGAAGAGGCTTCTACTATCACAAATATGAGCTTCAATAAGAATAATAACTGCAAAAATGTAAGATTCTATGTGTTGTCTTATGCTTCCAGCTTCTGCTTATGATATAGAAACTTGAGGCCGGGCGTGGTGGCTCACACCTACAATCCCAGCACTTTGGGAGGCTGAGGTGGGCAGATCACCTGAGGTCAGGAGTTTAAGACCAGCCTGACCAACATGGAGAAACCCTGTCTCTACTAAAAATACAAAATTAGCCAGGCATGGTGGCACATGCCTGTAATCCCAGCTACTCGGGAGGCTGAGGCAGGAGAATCACTTGAACCCAGGAGGCGGAGGTTTCAGTGAGCCGAGATTGCACCATTGCACTCCAGCCTGGGCAACAAGAGCAAAACTCCATCTCAAAAATAAATAAATAAATTAGAAAAGAGCTTCAGTCTCATCCCTACAACAATGACAATAACAAAAAGTGCTGAGCAATTTGCAAAATCAAAACTTAACTTTAATCTATAGAGAGCTGAGATTGAAGGTGGTGAACTATTCTGAAGCCTCTAAAGAGAACGGATATAAGGCAGTTAATGAGCTAAGGCAGACTCCACTAGACACTGCTTAAAAGATTAAAAAAAACAAATCCAAACGTTTAACAAATCGCTATCAGTGACATAGGCCATCTAGAGAATATGAGCATGTTGGGGCCAAAGGGAATTTGTACCCATTCACAGGCCCTTCTCCATAGACATCACAAAATTCCCACATAAAAAATTTGGATAGACTGATACGGTGGCTCATGCCTGTAATCCCAGCACTTTGGGAGGCCAAGGTGGGTAGATCATTTGAGGTTGTGAGTTCCATACCAGCCTGGACAACATGGTGAAACCCCGTCTCTACTAAAAATACAAAAATCAGCCAGATGTGGTGGTGTGTCCCTGTAATCCCAGCTACTCGAGAGGCTGAGACAGGAGAATCACTGGAACTCGGGAGGTGAAGGTTGCAGTGAGCTGAGATCATGCCATTGTACTCCAGTCTGGGTGACAGAGCAACACTCAGTCTCACAAAAAAAAAAAAAAAAAAAAAAAAACTTAGTTTAAAGGGGCCTCAGATGCTAACTAAGATTCCTTCTTGATTCAGGCCTGGGGACCTTTCTCCCCTGTTTCTCCTGTGGTGCTTTTTATAAATGTCTGCAAGTTCATCCACACTTCTTCCATCTAAAATGTAAAGACTAATTCTCTTCTCCTTGAGTGTAAGGCTAGATGTAATGTCTCTTCTAATAAACCAAACATGGCAGAAATGAGAAGTGGCTATGTTACAAAAGGCAATACATTTTCCTTTTTTTCCTCTCCTTTGGGCCCCTCACTCTGGAGGAATTTAACTGACACAGTACAAGGACACTTGAGCAATCTGTGGAGGGGCCCTCCTTTCAACAGCCATGTGAGTTATCTGTTTTGGAAGCAACTCCTAAAGCCACAGTCAAACCTTCAGATGACATCAACCCCTGCCAGCATCCTACCTGCAAGCACATGAGTGACCCCACATACAGCCATTCAACTAAGTTGCTCCAAAACTACTGTCCCATTGAAATGGTGAGATAATAAATGCTTAACGGTTTAAACCATTGGGTTGTAATTTGTTATGTATCAATAGATAGCTAATGCAGATTTGGCGACCTGACAGCAGGGTGTTACCATAATAAATACCTAATATATGTGAGTGGAGGAAGCTGCAAAGACATTTAAGGAGGCACTGATAAAATCTTGACAGGACGTACCTTACACACATTATTGTAGAAGGCTTTGAGGAGGGCTGTGGGTAAAGACTTAAAGGAAAGTGAGGAAAATCTGAGAAAATGAAGGAAGGGAAATCCTTGTTATATAGCAGCAAATTATTTGGCAGCTCTGTTACCTGTAACAATATGGAAATTAGAGAATATACCAAGTGAACAGACAGTTTAGCCAAGGGAATTTCCAGGGAGAAT